CTACCCCCCTGTAGGGATATGGATCAGCTTATCAGAGAAAACATTCAGCTGTTGGTTTTTTGGAATTGGCTAATTTCACTTAGCATGATATTCTCTAGTTCCATCCACTTACCTGCAAATGCCATAATTTCATTCATCTTTAAGACTGAGTAATATTCCATTGTGGATATTTTCCACATTTTTTTTTATCCATTCATCTCTTGAAGGGTGTCTAGGTAGTCCCATAGTTTAGTTATTGTGAATTGAGCTGCTACAAACATTGATGTAGCTGTGTCACTGTGGTATGCTGTTTTTAAATCCTTTGAGTATAGACGGAGGAGTGGGGTAGCTGGGTCAAATGATTGTTCCATTCCAAGTTTTCTGAGGTGTTTCTGTATTGCTTTCCAAAGTGGTTGCACCAATTTGCAGTCTTACCAGCAATGGACGAGTGTACCTTTTCTCCAACATCCTCACCAACTCTTATTATTGCTTATATTCTTGATAATTGCCATTCTGAGTGGAGTGAGATGAAATCTTAGATTAGTTTTTGATTTGCATTTCTTTAATTGCTGGAGATGATGAACATTTTTTCATATTTTTGTTCATCGATTGTATTTCTTGTTTTGTTCAGCTCCTTAGCCCATTTATTGACTGAGTTATTTGATTTTTTTGGTGTTAAGTTTTTTTAGTTCTTTATTTATATATCCTGGAGATTAGTGCTCTCTCTGATGTGTATAAGGCAAAAATTGGCTCCCAAAATGTAAGCCCTCTCTTCATCTCATTGATTGTTTTTTTTCTTATTTATTTTTTATTTGTAGTTGGACACAATACCTTTATTTTATTTATTTACTTATATGTGGTGCTGAGGATTGAACCCAGGGCCTCACACGTGTTAGGCGCGTGCTCTACCGCTGAGTCACAACCCCAGCCCCTGATTGTTTCTTTTGCTGAGAAGAAGATTTTTAGTTTGAATCCATCACATTTATTGATTCTTGATATTACTTCTTGTGCTTTAGGAATCTTGATAAGGAAGTCAGGTCTTAAGCCAACTTGATGAAGATTTGGGCCTACTTTTTCTTCTAGTAGGCACAGGGTCTCTGTTATAGTGTCTAAGTCTTTGATCCACTTTGAGTTGATTTTGAGCAGGGTGAGAGAGGTTTAATTTCATTGGCTACATATGGATTCCCAGTTTTCCCATCACCATTTGTTGAATAGGCAGGCTATATTTTCTCCAATGTATGTTTTTGGCACATTTGTCTCATATAAGATAACCATATTTATGTGGATCTGTGTCTTCTGTTTTGTACCATTGGTCTACAAGTCTATTTTGGTACTAATACCATACCTTTTTTGTTACTATTGCTCTGTAGTTTGTATCCTTTAAAGTCTGGTATTATGATGCCTCTTGCTTCACTCCTCTTGCTGAGGATTGCTTTGGCCATTCTGGGTCTCTTATTTTTCCAAATGGGATCATGATTGCTTTTTCTAGTTCTATGAAGAATGTCATCGGGATTTTAATAGGATTGCATCAAATCTGTGTAACAGTTTTGGTAGTATGGCCATTTTGACTATATTAATTCTGCCTCTCCAAGAGCATGGGAGATCTTTCCATCTTCTAAAGTCTTCTTCAATTTCTTTCTTTAGTGTTCTATATTTTTCATTGTAGAGGTCTTTTACCTCTTTTGTTAGACTGATTCCCAAGTATTTTATTTTCGAGGCTATTGTGAATGGGGTGGTTTTCCTAATTTCTCTTGCAGTGTATTAATCACATATACATAGAAATGCATTTGATTTATGGATATTGATTTTTATATGCTGCTACTTTGCTGACTTCACTTATTAGTTCTAGAAGTTTTCTGGTGGAATTTTTTGGATCTTCTAAATATAGAATCATATCATTGGCAAATAGTGATAGTTTGAGTTATTTTCCTCCATTCTCTCTCTCTTTAAATCGACTAGCTACACTTTTCTATGAGGGAGGGCCTGACACCCACCTGACACTTTTTCTATCTGAATTCCTCTCAAGGGTCCCTGTTCCAGGTGCCAACTGTCATGCACAACCTGCATAGGGATGGAATAAGTAACCCTCTGAGGTACTGGGCCTCCTGGAAATTAAAAAAAAAAAAAGTATGTAAAAAATAGTATTAAGAAATAAAGCCAAAGATGCAAGAAAATATTTGGAGCTGGGGCTTGGCTGGTGAGGAGACCTGATGGGTCTGATCCTAACAAAGGGAAAAGCCTGAAAATGCTTTATTTATAATGAAATACACAAAGAGATTCAGTGAGGAGTTCTTCAGGAAAACAGGATAAGAATGGGGAAAAACAAGTTGCTTGGGGCTTAGCAGGTTACGCCCGTCTCCAGGTAGCCTCGTTTGAACTGAGACAGGGTGTGAGCTGAAGCAGGGTGTGAGCTGAGACAGGGTGCCAGGAGGGTCTGGGCTTTCTTGAACTGGGGAACTTTACCCAAGAACTCCCAGAAAAATAACCTCCCTGCCTTATGATAGCTCAAACAAATCCATAATTTATGCACGGCTTCCAACAGGATCCTAGTCTTGTGGATGGACATCATGTTGAGATTCACTGTGCTGTATTCCTTCATGGCCACAGGAAAGTCATGTTAGATTTAGTTCACAGTCTTTCACATTCCTATTCCCCCTTCTTTCCCTTCATTCCCCTTTGTCGAATCTGCTGAACTTCTATTCAGTTGACTGCTGTCCTTAGCATCCACATATCATTTGACTTTGTTTTTTTGGGATTGGCTTATTTCACTTACCATGACAGTCTCCAGATTTCTCCATTTACTGGCAAATGCCATAAAGTCATTCTTTTTATGGCTGAATAATGTTTCATCATGTATATCATTACTTTATCTCTTTTGCCTCATGTTTTTTTTGCTTAATTTGGTATCAGGTCGGAGTATCTTGGAGCGACTTTTTAAATTCACAGTTTATGACAGAATAAATACCAGTACAACTGAGAGAAATCTTTGGTGAAAAATACTAGATGATATAATAAAGATATCTAATAATGTGGGAAATGTTTCTGTTGGCACTAGGAAAGAGGTCATCAAACTGGGGAGTATAGTATATTTTAAACACATTTAAATACTGTTGTACTGTTGAAGATTGCCTTGAGCAACCCTGCCTACACAGCATTAAACCAGGGCAAAGTGACATTTAGTGATGGGACCCATACTCTTCTTAGTGAGAGAGGTACCAGAGTTGTGATTCTTCTGTTTTTAAATATCCCTAGAAAATGTAAGAAGCCCCATAATTTCCTTGTTAAACATTTCAGTGATAAGCAACTGGATTTTATTGGCCTAAACTAAAAGCAAATTGTTTAGAAATCTTCTCACATGAGGCTATGGCAGTTTTTAATAAAGTTTGTACCAAAGACTTTTTTTTTAGTAAAGAAAAGAATTTTCCTTCTTTTTTAAAATATTTTTATTTGTTATTGATGGACCTTTATTTTCTATTTTTTTTAATACGTGGTGCTGAGAATCGAACTCAGTGCCTCACACATGCTAGGCAAGTGCTCTACCACTGAGCTACAAACCCAGCCCAGAATTTTTCTTCTTGAAAATTATAACAGTGAAGCATGGGAAATTAATTTTAGGCCCTCATGTGCCTATTCTAGTAGCAACATTTTTTCCCCCACCTCTGTTTACCATGGTTGCATTAGTTTTAGGGTAAGTGAATAATTAATGATGGTTGATTGATGAAATAATGATCGTGTTCAGAGTGCGTTTAGATGGATGAAAGAGGCCTCAGGGATCCCTACTTTTGTGCAGTTGGCTCAGGATTCCAGGTTTTAGTGCCAATAGTTGCATCCTTTAAATACTTACAAACAGGTTTAACGGAAAGCAGTGGTGAATGAAGCTTGCATTACAGTCAGTTATTCTTTAGAACAATCTAGAACTAAAGTATTTTAGCTCAAAGTATTCTTCAGTACTGCTCCTTAAGCATGATAAATTAATTCTATTATCCCTCTGAGATAAACCTGATAAACAGCTTGGTAAAGTGCAGAGTCGAATAACTTAATTGTGTCTGTATGAGTCATTCATTTATTTTTCTCAGTCAGTCGATAATAATTAAACACCTACAATATGTCTGATATGGTTCTGAGTGCCAGGAAGGTAGCAGGGTACAAAACCTGCATTGATCTCACATGGATCTCTCCTTATTTTTGTTAGGAACAAAAATAATGAATGCAGCAGTATAAAATGTATGAACCGTCAATTGGTGCTAAGTGCTATGGAGAGGAGACAGCGGGGAATGGGGAGTGGAGAAGGCCAGCTTGGGAGGGAGATGGGCTTTAAAGAGCATGGCAAAGCCTCTTTGAGATTATCGTACTTAGGCCTTTGACTTTTCAGCTCTCTGAAATGCATGCAAAATTTAAGTTCACTTATTCAGAATAATATTTGGGGAAAATAAAGGATACCTTAAAGAATGGTTTGATAAATGGGCCTGTAAGATGCAATAGCCTCGACATCACAGATTGCTCTAGTAAAGAGTTTGTGGCTTGAGAGGTCAGAAGGATCCTGACGATGCTGCATTTATATTGTGTTGAAAAGCATTCTGTTTCAGTAATGCAGCCTAAAGGTGAGCGTCATGGTGTCACATGCAGATTTGACATTTTCATGGAGCTGAGCAAGGTCTTGCAAATTGGTTCCCAAGTGTGTCCACTCCTACATAACAAGCTGATTCATTTCCTTCTCTGTCCATTTTAATTCCTTCTACTTTTATCTCCATAGGCAAGTGAATATATTATTCTAGTCCACCTCACAGTAAACAGAGAAGCTTATAAAAAAAATAGCCACTTTGTGGGCCTTATTTATTTATTTTACCACGAATAGAATTAATTTGGATAACCTACTGGAGGAGTTGCATATGTTTTTCTAAATGTTCCTAATTAGATATTCACCAGGTTTTCGCTTTTTTGCATTTTTAAATATCGAGCACAGTGTTTGAATAAGGTGATTAGCATGCCAGACTTTAACTAAAAAGCTGATATTTTTTCAGTGCCCGCCAAATCTTCATAAGCAAGATGGATATGCCTGCAATCAAAATCAGGTATACTGGTCTATAAATTTTAAATATAATTTTAAAAGAATTAGCTGGAAAGGTTTTTGTTTTGTTGATGAATGTAATTTTGAAAGGAAATTATTCAAGAAAATTATTGCAATGAGGTTCTAATTCAGAGTTGCTTCACCTCATACCAAATATTAAATATACTTAACTCTGGTGACAAATTGTCCAAATTGAGGGAACAGAAAACAACAACAACATAATGGCTGAGGAATCAGAAATCTAATTTTTTAAGTTGTGACTATTTTTAAATAATTTAAACCTATCCATTATGGGAAAAATGACTTACAATGCTTTTGAAGCCATTTTATAACTATAACCATGTACATACTGGAGAAGCTAAATATCATTTTGTATGATACAAAAAACTGCCAATTTTTGTTTTCCATAAAATTCAAATTTTTAGGCAATTAATTTGGATTTTAAAAAACTGCACTATGAGATCTGTTTCGAGTTTAAAAGTTTAACTCTGTAGGATTCTCTTAAGATTTCTGTGATTCTTATTGGTCACTATGAAAATATTAGTGTATGAGATAGGAAAAAAAAATTTAAAAAACCTTACCTAACTGAACTTGAAAGAGACCTTGTCATTGGAATTTGGGGTAAAATGAAACTGGCTGTGTGTGCTTCACAATATGTGCGCTCTTGTCCCCAGGGCCGCTGCTACAACGGCGAGTGCAAGACCAGAGACAACCAGTGTCAGTACATCTGGGGAACAAGTAGGTCACATCTTCCTGCCTAGTGGTCATACACACAGTTTTCATTTAATATTGTTCTTCTCTGCCACGTATGCTGACAGAGATACACGGTTTGGAGTGATGTTTAAAAAGAAAGGAATCTAGAAAAGGGTGAGAATAAAGAGATTTGTGAATCTCAAGTCACAAAAACGATAGAGGGGTTGAAGTGTGACTTAGAGTGTGAGAGAGGCCCTGGATTCAACCCCCACCTCCAATAGTACAACAAGATACCTAATACAAACTATGTAGAAAACAACCACACAAACTGAGGACTTGTCTCAGAACCCAATGGTGTCATTCAGTGATTGTGGCTGTCAGAGAAGAATATTGCAAAGATGATTTGAGTGCAGAGGTCAGAGTCACTGTCCTGACACTTGCATGGTTTACTTTGTACTTTGGCTCCAACATGTATCCACACCACCCCCGCACCCGCAAGTTAGCTTTCTGTTTTTTACCCCAGAAGAGTGTCAGCCTTGATTTTTAAAATTTGTGTCACTCACTATCTCAGATCCAGTGAAGAAAAGCAGGTATTTCTGAAGAGCAGATAGGTACACGGTCCTGTCTCAGCACATTTCTCAAATGTTCATACACATATTCTCTTGATGACATTTACAGTGCCTCTCCCATGAGCTTCAGTTCATGAGAGACAGACAGGAAGCTCAAGAAATGGGTCTTCCTTGCTGACTGTCATTGGCCAAAAGAAAAGAAAGGACACAAAAGCAAAACAGAACCCCTGGCAGGAGTGATTTCAGTTATTAACCAATATCATTTATCTGAGATTTGTGTTCAGTGTTTCAGTTTTCATAGAGGAAAGATAATAGACACTTATCGTCTTTTCAAAGATTGAAATATCAAAACCCAACGATCAGTACAAAATCTCAGTGGGCTGACTTTATAATTAATCTCCCAATATCAATATAGAACAGAATTAAGAATGTATGTTAGATTTCCATGTGTCATTTCACTAATTCCTCCTGATGATTCTTCCCACTACCTACCCTTAAACTCACCAATGAGAAATTTATTTCTCACATTAAACAAATTGTATTAGGACCTTTTTTTTTTCTCCCCAATACTAGGGATTGAATCTCGTGGTATTCTACTACTGAGCTCCATCTCCAACCCCTTTTTATATTTAAAAAAAATTTGAGTCGTCATTTTGCTTAATTGCCTAAGCTGGCCTTGAACGAACGAACGTATAGTTCTCCCTTCTCAACCTCCCAATTATCTGGGATGACAGGCGTGCGCCACTGTGCCTGGCATGTGTTGGAGCTTTTTGGAATAAACCCACAAGAATCATTGCTAAAATTTTAGGAATTTGTTAGCTTAAAATCAGTCCTGGAATATTTATACTACAGAAATTGGCAGATGCTACAAATCAAGGTTTTTCCGTCTTTTTCTGGAGAACCAGTTGTTAAACATTTAGTGATGCAGTACTGGTTGTGATTAACAAAAAAAAAAAAAAGAACTAAAATTAATTTCCTTCCCTTGCCAATCTCCAACAGAGGCTGCAGGATCTGACAAGTTCTGTTATGAAAAGCTGAACACAGAAGGCACAGAGAAGGGAAACTGCGGCAAGGATGGAGACCGGTGGATCCAGTGCAGCAAACAGTGAGTGCTCAGCTTTGGAGCATAATGACTGCACTGGGAGGTCCTGATGCAAATGCAGAATGAGAACAAGACAAATGTTACTCGATTTTCTTTTTAACATTTGTTTTTTTAGTTTTAGGTGGACATAATATCTTTATTTTTATGTGGTGCTGAGGATTGAACCCAGTGCCTCATGCATGCTAGGCAAGAACTGTACCACTAAGGCACAACCCCAGTCCATGTTACTCATTTTTATAAATGTCTGGCTACTCAAAAACTGAAGCATGCATTTGAAAAATTCATTGGTGTATCTGATGTCAAATGATAATAGGCAAAACTGATACTATGCAACAAACTAACAGCCTTTCGATAAAACTCAGAAAATCCTCATATGCTGTATTTCTGTATTTTACCTGATTCTTGTTTTGAAGTGATACTTTGCCAGGATATTACAAATGAATATCAGGTTTTAATTTCCTACTTTAGCTAGAACATTTGACCTATGAATGTGCTATTTGCTATTATACACAGAGTTGAATAGGTAAATTATATAGACTGTATATTTTGGAGTCTATTCAAAGTATACTACTAATATATTTTTTGTCATTTCACATCATATGTGCAGCACCTTTTGATTTAATTAGCCATCAAATATCTATATCAGATATCAGAGGGTTTTCCCTTCTAAAAAGCATCTGGTTAGCACATATTAGAGGCATCCTTACTCAGGAAGGGAGAAGCTTTTAGTATACATCGATTATATTTCCCTTGGGTTTGTTAATGAAAGTTAGAATTGTGATTCAATAGTTTATTCAGGTTAATCCAGTGATCCAAGTCAGTTGACTTAGTTATAAGTTAAAACTCCTCTATTTCTTTCCCCTAACAGTGAGGATTTTTCTCTTAATTTTTGGATTGAACTCTGGGCACTTGACCACTGAGCCACTCCCCAGCCCTATTTTGTATCTTATTTAGAGACAGGGTCTCACTGAGTTGCTTAGCACCTCACTTTTGCTGAGGTTTGCTTTGAACTTGTGATCCTCCTGCCTCAGCTTCCTGATCCACTGGGATTACAGGTGTCTGCCACCATAGCTGCTCTCCCAGTTTTGAAGTAGAGCAAGGGAAGTTCTGTTTCTCCTGTTAATGATCTCTATGCTATACTTCATGAAAGTTTGCAATTCCACATAGTGTTTGATAGTGAATGAGGCCTTACCAGGCAATGCGTCTTTGACTATCATTTCTTTAAAATTAAACCAAAATGACAGGGAACAGTTTCCCAACTGATGACTTAAAAGTGAGGTATATATATGCTATGATGTTGAGCCTCAGTTCTTAAGGTGCTAGGGAGAAGCAGGGAGAGGTCTGATGTGGTGAAAACCCAGGGGGTTGGGTATCTCCAAATTGATTAGCTTTATCATTAACTCCATGTCTTAGACAAATCTGATCATTTCTCCTTGTCTCTGTAACTTTAAAAAGTTTGGGAGGCATTGGATTAGATCATTGTTGAGAGCCACAGCCGAAGGGGCCCCAGCAAACTTCCAGCTGCCAGATCATTGTAAAAGATAGCTTTTGAGGAAAATTGCTGTTTTTTTTTTAAACTTTAAAAAATTGTGACATATAATATGTAAACTGAAAAGTAACCCAGGTATGCCTTTTACCAAATAATTATGAGGTGAGCCCCCATGTAACCCCTACCTGGGGCAAGAAATAGAATGTTGTAGCATCCCAGAAATAATGTCTCCTTCCCCAACAACTTCCCAACTCTTTTCAGGAAGTCCCTTTCACCCAACTTTTGTGACAATGGTTTTCTTGCCTTGTTAAGAGTTTTTTTTTTTTTTCTTCTTTCAGTACTAGGGATTGAACTCATGGACACTCAACTACTGAGCCACATCCTCAGCCCTATTTTGTATTTTATTTAGAGACAGGGTCTCACTGAGTTGCTCAGTGCCTTGCTGTTGCCGAGGCTGGCTTTGAACCCATGATCTTTCTGCCTTAGCCTTCCGAGCTGCTGGGATTAAAGGCATGTGTCACCGTGCCTGGCTGCTGCCTAAATTTTTAATCCCTAATACTTCACGCCTTGTTTGATAGTTTGCTTCTGAAGTTCAGCATTTTAAGAGCTTTTCCTGGTGTGTATAGCTGTACTGTTTGTTTCATTTTTGTACATGCACATACTAACATACTATAATTTAGTTTCCATTCTATGTTGATGGACTTTTGGGCTATTTCTTTGTTTTGGCTGTTAGGAACTATTGGGCTATGAATATGCTCGTACATGTAGCCTAGAGTACCTTTGCACACATTCTCTAAGGCCCTGGTTGAAAAATTGCTAAGTCATAGGAAGTGAATATCCTCAGCATCACCAGATGATGTCAAACTATTTTCTAAAAATAGTTTTACTAGTAAACTCTGCCATTAATAATATGAATATGAGAATGTTGTACCATATTCCCACCAACACATGATCTTATCAGATTTTTTGCTTTTATCTATTCATTTGGGCGTGAACTACTATCTTATGACTTTCATGTGCATTTCCCAGATTCTAAATAGCATTTAGCATATTTTCTTACATTTATTGAATATAGATTTTTTTTTTTTTAGTGATGTCACTTCAGTTCTTTGCCCCTTCTTTAAGAGTCATGGTTTATTTAATAGATGGGCTGGAGGTAGGTGCCCTCATGGTGGATGAGTTGTATAACAGTGTCCCCAAGGACCTGGATCATTTCTGTCCTGCTGCATGTTGATTTTTTTTTTCCTGTCTGTGATCTTATGAGAGCAAGGTAGGTGCAAAACTGCACATTCAAAGGTAGAAAGTAGGGGTAGGAGTAAAGCCTTTTCCCTATTATGCTCTAACTTTTATCCAGAAATCCTCCTAGCAACTCTCTTGCTTTCTCTTCCCTACATCTCTATGCCCTGAACCCCTTTTAGCTATAAGGAGTCGGGTAGAGGGCTGCGTAAGAAAGTGGGCATGGGGAATGCCACAGGTAACTGGGACTTGTCATGATCCATCTTTCAGGCTGTCTGCTTCACTGCCCCAAGCAAAAATGTGGTCCTTCTGGCAAGAAAGGGGGGAATCATAGCCAACTATAATATCTAAATACATATTTCTATTTTAAAGGAAAGAGAATATTTAAATTATTTGAATATATGTACACTGAATACTTTTTTTTTGAGCTTGATTTCTCTTGCCTTGTTCTTTCTTTCTTTTTCAAAAAAAAAACATATTCAGTGACGTGTTCTGTGGATTTTTACTTTGTACCAATCTTACTCGAGCTCCACGTATTGGTCAACTTCAAGGAGAGATCATCCCGACTTCTTTCTATCATCAAGGCCGAGTGATTGACTGCAGGTAACACAGTAAATGTTAGCCTCATGAAGCATGAGAATTACAAATTCCAAAAAATAAAATTTTGAAAAAATAATTTAAAAAAATCAAAGATGTTCTTACAAGAGGAAAGTTGACTTAGATTTTATCATCATCTTTCATGAGGAAAATCACTTAAAAAAGAAAGTATTACATTGATTTGCAAATTACACTTGTTCCAAATTGTACTAGTTAATACCAGTGAAGCGTTCTTTTAAATCATGATCTGAAGAGTAGAATTATCATTTGAGTATCCCTTATCTCAAATGCTTGGGACCAGATGAGTTTTGAATTTCATATTTTTGGGGATTTTGGGATATATATATATATATATATATATATATATATATATAGAGAGAGAGAGAGAGAGAGAGAGAGAGAGATCTCATGGGGTAGGACCCAAGTCTAAACATGAAATTTTTTCATATTTCTTGTACACCTTAAACACATAGGCTGAAGGTAATTTTTAAATTCTATGTATGTATGTATGTATGTATGTATTTTTAATGGGGTTCATTGTGATGTTTCCAAAAAAATCACACAGCATGCAGTGATTATTTCCAACCAAGCTTCTCTCCTCCACCCCTGTATCTTTTCCAATCCACAGTAATCACTATTATTTTGGGGAGGGTGTACCCAAGATTGAACTCAGGGATCCTCAACCACTGAGCCACATCCCCAGTCCAATTTTTGTATTTTATTAGAGACAGAGTCTCACTGAGTTACTTAGCATCTCACCTTTGCTGAGGCTGAGGCTTTGAACTCCAGATCCTCCTGAGCCTCCCAAGCTGCTGGGATTAAAGGTGTGTGCCACCTCGCCCGGGCCAAGTAATCACTATTTTACTTTCAAGTTAATTTCTTTTTAGTTTTTACATATAAGAGAGAGCGTGTTACTTGTTTTTCTGTCTAGCTTATTCTGCTTAACAAAATGTCCTCTAGTTCCATCCATTTTGCTGAAAATGACAGGATTTCATTCTTCTTTATGACTGAAGGATATTCCATTGTATTTATGTGCCTTGTTTTCTTTATCTATTTGTCTGTTCATGGGCCCCTAGGCTGATTTCATATCTTAGCTATTGTGAGTAAACATGGGCATGCAGGTATCTCTTTTATATGCCAGCTTCATTTCCTTTGGATAAATAGCTAGTAGTCAAATAGCTGGATGATCATATGATAATTATAGTTAGTGTTTTGAGGCGCCTACCTAGTATTCTTTATAATGACTGTCCTAATTTACATTCTCACCGACAGTGATTGTAATAGTTCCTTTTTCTCCCCATCCTGGCCAGCATTTGTTTTTGGTTTTGTTTTGATAATAACTATTCTAAGTGGGATAAGGTGGTATCTTTTGTAGTTTTATTTGAATTTTTTCAATGGCTAATGATAGTGAGCATTTTCCCACACATAGATTTTTTTTTTTTGGAGAGAATCTATATTTTTTATAAGCACAAACATATGTATCTATTGTCATTCAAGATATTCTTAATGCATTTGATGAAAAAGAAAGAATCTGCTTCATGGATGTTGAAAATATCTAACATTTACTATTTCTCCTTCATATTAAACTTAATCTTTTTTTCCATATATTTATTGACCACTTTTATTTCTTCTTTTGAGGAGTGATTCTTATGTAGTATTTTTAGTGCACTTCACTTTTGAATGTGACTCATCTCGTGATCTCAGATGTGTACTTTTCCACTTATAGTGTCACGTCAATGTTCAGAAATTTTCAAATTTTGGAGTGTTTCAAATTACAGATTATTGGATTATGGATGCTCAACCTGTATGCTTTTTTAACCCAAGATTACAATTTTGAGCAGGGAATATGTCACTATTTGAACACTTTTATTACATTTTTATCAAAAAAGAGCTTAGGCTTTGTGTAGCATATGTCTGGTTTAGAATATGGCTTAACAAATACCCAATCACATATAGAAAACATTGATTAAAATATTATTCATAGTTGTAAGCAAACATTTTATGTTCAGTTGTCTTGAGAATACATAGGATATAGGTATGAGGCTTATTTTTTAGCCAAGAAATTGTAATATATTCCAAGTGAGTTCCCTTCAAGTAGTCACACTTCTAAGACACCATTCTCTTATTTAAATTTTCTGGTGTTACTTGAACTGCTTTTTGGATTTCCCCTATAGAATAGACTTTAGCATCTGCACTTTTGTTTTTAGTAGCCCAGATACAAAATCTTCAACTGATGTGAGTGAATAAGATATGAGGAATTATCCAAAAGTAATTTTGAACAAATTTTAGTAAATTGAGTGAGTACTATGTTGTATTGGTCAAGTGATTGCTGTTTTGTTTTTTTTTTTCCTGTATTTTTAAGTGGATTTAAAGGCAATTCTTGCCTGGAATACATTTATAGTCTCCCTTGCTTGTTACTTGGAGGCACACAAGTTTTCTTTGTATATGTTTTTATATGTCTGTAACAGCCTCGTTAAATTACACTGTTACATTCTAAATTAGCATATTTGTAAAATACTCAGCAAGATACTCTGTTAGTAATTATAGCATTATCATTTAAATTCATGTTGTCCCTAACTTTGAAATTTTGGAAGTAAATATCAATAGAAAAGCACTGGTTTATTTTTTCAATTATGAATAATCAAGTCCTTCCTCTAAAGTAATAATTTTCAGAATACTTTCATTGCTCTTTTTGCTCAACGTCTGCTTTTTTTTTTTTTTCCTCCCCTACCACATCTGAAAGCCTCAGAGAACTCCTGACATATTTGCTTCTTTTGTTCTTACCGGAAGGCTCTCCCCTCATCTTAATATTGGGTGAGGGAAACAAGTGAAGATTCAGAATGTACATAATGTGAACGATGGTTTTCCTGATGATGGGCAGTGTAATAATGATAATGAAAGGGAGGTGTTTTTTTTTTTCATGATCTTTTATTAGGGGACTGGAAAGGGGAAAAAGAAAAGAGAAGATTGGGAAAATACTAAGAGAAACTTCTGTTCATAGACACCCTCTTCAGTTCATGCTGACCCTGTATTTCTAAGTATGCTGCTAACGATTGTGTGGATCTTTTTTTCCTCTTAGTGGTGCTCATGTAGTTTTAGATGATGATACAGACGTGGGCTATGTAGAAGATGGAACACCATGTGGCCCATCCATGATGTGTTTAGATCGGAAGTGCCTACAGATTCAAGCCCTAAATATGAGCAGCTGCCCACTTGATTCCAAGGGTAAAGTCTGTTCAGGCCATGGGGTAAGTAAGCATCCATGTTCCAGCTCGAACCTCCATTGTCTGGTCCCCTCAGGGTGCACAATGGCTGGACTTCCGGTTTAGCCATCCTCCTAGGTGATTATTGCCAGCATCTAGGCATGGATTATGACTATTTTCTTAGTCCCCTTATCTGCTAAGAATGTGCCATGTATTAATTTGATTTTATTATTGTTCTTTTTTCCTATCTCTGGCTATTTGTATTCACCACATCTCTAAGATATTATTTGATATCCATATGAGTATTCTGCAGAGAAACAGAACCAGTAGAAGATAGATACATGTATGCATATGTGTATGTATGTATCATCTGGATATATTATGAGCAATTAGCTCATGTGATTATGGAGGTTCAGACATTCCCAAATTTACTGTCAATAAGATGGAGACTCAGTGTTATAATTGTCTTGAGTTCAAAGGCATAAGAACTAGAAGAGCTGCTGGTCCTAGGACTAGAGAAGATGTACGCATTCAAGTAGTTAAGCAGGAAAAAAAAAAAGGTGTGTATGTGTGAATCCCCCTTCCTCCTCCTTTTTGCCGTGTTCAAGCCCTGAATGGATTGGGTAATGCCCACTCAGGTTGGGTAGTCAACTGATTCAAGTGGTAATCTCACCTAGAAACAGTTTCACATGTACATCCAGAAATAATGTATCGGACATCCCTTAGTCCAGTGAAGTTGGCACATAAAATTCATCATTACAACAGCTAAAAAGGTGGAAGAAAATTGGCGTGGGTTCCACAGAAACTATAGATCGCATGTGACTATTTTGTATAATTCAAAACAATTTAAAACATTGGGGTAATTCACTGTCATGAACTCAATATGCACAAACTGAGTATCTAGGTGCCAGTTCACACTGGGCTAGAGGTTGAATCAAAGATGATATTTGCAGGTTTAAAGTTATACACAGTTATACATGGACAGTTGTCAACCAAAGAGAAAATGCTATCCCTCTTCACAACCACATGTGTCTTTAATTCTGTGAACAAAGTGTTTGGGCAAGTTGCCTTTATTGGTAAATCTAAGCTGGATCCCAAAACACAAAATTAACTGTTATTTAAATTGGGCTTATCAAAAGGAAGGCATTTCATAATTGACACAGAGTCGGGTACAGTGGTACACACCTGCAATCCCAGCTGCTAAGGAGGCTGAGGCAGGAGGATCGAAAGTTCAAAGTCAACCTCAGCAAAAAGCAAGGCACTAAACAACTCAGTGAGACCTCATCTCTAAATAAAATACAAAATAGGGCTGGAGATGTGGCTTGATGGTCGAGTGTTCCTGAGTTTCATCCCAAGTACTTCCTCCTACCTCCCCGCCCCCCCAAAAAAATTGATACAGACTTCAGAAATGGAAAAAAGAGGGCTGTGAAAAAACTGAGGGCAATAATTTAAAAAGGGAGGTGCTAAAATGAATGTAAAATTAATTAAAAATTGATAGACTGGCAGGTAATCTGGATCAGAACAAGGTGGAAAGGCCCAAGAAACTTGTGTCCAGTGATCTTGAGATTGGGATTTTGTTGGAGGAAAGACTCATGCAGATATAGTATAGTCCAGTGATTTTAAAACTTGGATTTGGGGGCTCAAATGAATCATGGGTTTGAATCCTAGCTCTGCTTCTTGGTATTTTGGTGATGTTGGACAAGTTACCCTCTTGGCCCTTACGGTGCTGGAATGGTGTAAATAAGATGTTTTACATAAAGTGTCGGGCACAAGTACTTGGCACATGGTACGTGCTCAGTAATTGCTAAGTTAAAATAAAGTCAATGGCCAGACTTATCAGGTATTTCAGTTACAGCTCTAAGAACATAAAGCTTAGTGCTTAAAAAGGCTTGAATTTCTTTCCTCATACCCTCTTACCTTTTCCTCTTGTTTGTAAAAAGGTCAAATTCAGCCTTTTTAATCATAATCAGTATTATAACAGTTCAGATTCAAATACTTCTAAGTTTGATTTTATCATCTCTAATACTCTGTCTCTGAATGTATTTCACAGGGAGGTAAGGCTTTCAATACCCTTGTCTCTAGTTTTCAGATGGTTATTTATTTCATCTAAATTGCAAGTTCATTCCAGCTAGCTCTTTGGTCCCTGGAGAAAGAGACAGGAGATGAAGATCACTCCCAGGTTTTCAGCTTGGCTGGCTGAGAAAGGTAGTGATACCATGGACCAGCAGGGAAGGTGGGATGGGTGCTTGTTTGGCAGGAAAGTGCCACCACTGAGTTTGGTGTTGGACATTAGTCATTTGTGTCTCCTGGAGTTTTATCTCAGACAGTGCCACTGTCTTTAATATTGGGCAGTTTCTCTTAAGCCCACTACCTGTTAATTTACTGAATTAAGCATATGTTTTTCTTGTATGTTCCTAGAAACAAGTATGTATGAAAAAACTACCTTGTAGACATTAATGTGCAAATTTATATATTTAAATAATATCATCATGAATAGTACAAACTTAAGGCTTTGTTCTTCTTAGTCTTTATTTTTATATAATAAACAGAAAATATATTCAATGATTTGATCTACAGATTGTTGTCCCTCATCTTCATCTCAAGGTGTGGAAAACTTAAAAAAAAATATTTCCAATGAATTTTTTGGTACTGGGGATAGAACCCAGAGGTGCTTCACCACTGAGCTATATCTCCAGCCCTTTTTATTTTAAGAGAGGGTCTCATTAAGTTGTTTAGGGCCTCACTAAGTTGCTGAGGCTGACCTTGAACTTGTGATCCTTCTACCTTAGCTTCATAAGCCACTGGGATTACAGCAGGCACCACCACGCCTGGCTCCCAATTTTTTAAGCTTTCTTCCTGCCTATGTCTCTTTCACATTTATCACCACTCCATGAAGCACAGTGAAAAGGCTCCATCTCTGTTCTTTTGTTTTTACAGGTGTGTAGTAATGAAGCCACCTGCATCTGTAATTTCACCTGGGCAGGAACAGACTGCAGTATACGAGATCCAGTTAGAAATCCTCACCCACCCACGGATGAAGGACCCAAGGGTTTGTGTGATTTCAGTTTCTATTCTTTTCCTAACTTCATTCATTTTCACTCTTCCAAAGCACCAGCACAACACTTTCACGGATTTGAAAGGAGACACATAAGAACATCTCTTTTTTTATTATTAAAATGTATAAGTCATTTTACTGCAGAATTAAGCATCCTGTGTATATCATATTTATAAAAATGTGTTTGAATTACCTCTTAGCCTAGAACAACATTAGGAAGAAGTATGTCAATGTTCTCTAACCCAGTTTCCTTTCTCTCCCTTAAACCTCATCCTTTTTCTATGATCACAAATGCTAAATTATTTTATAGTTTTTCTAAACTATGCTAATTTTCTAATAGAGAAAGTCTTTGGGGCTGACACGAGACTCTGATCTTTCCTCAGTATTTGAATCCCTCCAGGGGGATGTTATTGCATTCCATGCTTTTTTTAAACTCAAGTTTTTGAAGGAGTTAAATTTTTTAATACAGCTTTAATTCTTCAAAGAAGAGGCAAAGGATCTGAACCTTTGTTTTAGTCAGTCCCTAAGAAGAAAAAAATTTAGAATTTTAGAATTAGGAGTCTCCATGGCTGCTCAGAACCACCCTCTGATTTTGCAGTTGAGAATGCCCAGCTCCTGAGGTCAGGTGACATATAGTTTCCCAGGCAACAAGAGACTGAGCTGCAATCAGGAACCAATTGCCTGACCTGAGACTTATGCTCTCTTCCATTACATATTCTTAAAATGTAATCTGTGTTGTCGTGAACATGGTAATCATTTTCTCATTATTCTTCCCATTCAATTCTAAAAGATCTAGAAAAACCTTCAGTCACAACTGGTTTACTACAGCATCCATAGCATCATACCTGAGAAAAAATTAACTACTAGAACCAATTTTAACATACAGAGATGACATTGTACATCAGCTTCCTTTTCATGGTACTCCTGGCGGTATTTTATAAATGATAGCCTTGCTTTCTCCTACAAGTAGCTAAATACACATAGGAATGATATGATGTTGATCATCTCCATTTTGGATGAAAATTCATTTAAACTCTCTGAACTTCAGTGTAGTCTATATGGAAAAATATGACTCCAAAAGCAGATGAAGCTCTGTAGTCTGCAGTTCCTAAAGAGATTTAAGCTAGTTTGGATGCATGTGAATTGTTCTGTAATAGTGGGTGTGTTAAAACACATCTCATGCATTTGCTTAATATGCCCTTGATATTAAAATTCTATAAGAATCATTATCACACCCTCACAGTCTATTTCTATTCTTTTTCCATTTCTAAAAGTGAAACTATCCCATTTTCACATTTTGTCTTTTGTTACTTTAAAACTAGAACAAAACATTCTTGGATCCACCTTCAGAAGTTAGATTTAGAGATTTAAGCTCTGACAAGAGAAGCAGAGGTTCATTCTCTCCAGATTTTCTCTCCATAGCATGTCTGTGATTTTTAAAAAGATCTAGATGTATATCCTCAAGTGAGGCATAAAGAAATCTGAACAAAAAAGCAGAGCTAAACTTACTTGGATTGCTTTTCTTTAGGCAGAGTAGGGGATTATTAATTGTCTGGTTCTATTCCCTATTCCTTTGCCCACCCATCCCTAGCAAAGCTAAATTTGAGTTAAAGAGCAAACAGGTGTATTCCAGAGAAGAGAAAATTCACAGCTGCCTCTTGTTTTTTATTCTCTTAATGTGGTGATATTCTATACTATCTTTTTAAAAATAACTGTTTTGATCATTCAAATGATAGATGGTTGTTATAAAAATTTTCTCCAATAGACAATATGTAACAAATACATGTCTGTTGTCAAAAATAGAGAAAGGATCAAAAAGACGATAGAAACCAGTCTTCATTCCACAACTCATAGGTAATCAACATAAGCATTCTGTCATATTTCTTTTCTGTTGCCTATTTTCCTTTTTTTATTCTAATGAAGACAATGAGCCATTGGAGTAAAAATTTACCCATTGGTGCCAATATTGTTAGAATCCTTATGAATCTCTAACAATTTTGATTAAATTGAAAATAAGTCATTAGTGTAAATGAAGATCAGTTATTTTTGTACATTTTTAGATTTCTGGAAAAATCGAACAATTTTAGTACAACTAAATAATAGCATCATCAGTATTGGCTATTTATTTATTTTAAAACCAATTTTTCTACCTTTATTTTATTTGTTTATATGTGGTGCTGAGGATGGAACACTTGCACGTGCTAGATCAATGCTCTACCTCTGAGCCACAACCCCAGCCCTAGTATTGGCTATTTAGACCTTCTCGTTCTGTATAGAAAAACCTATTAATGTAGTAGTAAAATGCTAACAGAAACCAAACTTTTGAAAACTTTGTTATAGATTTATAACTTTATCCTCGATATTCTTGTTAAAAGAAGATGCTAAGAGAGAAACTATACATCTTACTTTTATTTTTGTTCATTTAGCAGATATTTTTCAAGTCTCCACTGTTTAAAAGAGAGTACATTTTTGGCACATAGTAGGCATTCATAAATATTTCATCCCGTTTTTGGGGAATACGTAAAAGAAATGGGAAATGCAGCATGTTGGTGCTGATTTTCACTTTATCCGTATGTATTTGTTGTATTGGCTTGCCAAAGAGTAATAGGTAGTGAAATTATGATATTGATTAAATCTGTACTTTCTCAACTGTAGGTTCTGCAGCATTTGGGATGCCAAGTTTTTCTCCATAGCTTCACACTGTATCTTGCTGGCACTTGCTGTACTGAGCACTGTGTTTGGGTCTTCCCCAAATGCACAGCATGTACAATGATCTGGATAGCTATAGTCATTCGTAAAAATACAGTGAGAAGGTATTACAAATATTTAGTTTTATTTAATTTTAATGGTCTTCTTTGATATGGAAAATTCAAGAAGCAAAATGAAAATAATTGCCTTTTTATTATGAAATCTGGGCAAAAAAAGATGAATTGTACCCAACTACATCCCTGTAGATCAACATCAAATTAGCAAAAATAAGCAGGTTCCATGGAAGGATTTTTCTTTTCTTTTCTTTTCTTTTTTTTCTTTGTGGGTGTGTATGTGTGTGGTGCTAGGGATGGAACACCTAGGGCCTCACACATAAAGCACTCCACCACCGAACCACATCCGCAGTTCGCTGAGTTAAGTATTTTCAAAAAAGATTTTCTATTGCAAAGGTCACTTCATTTTTTCCTATGCAGACATTTATTCCATTTACAAAAACTCTTCTCTCAACTTGTTTCTACTGAAATCCCTGAAGGAAATTATTTTTTTTTCTACAAGGATAGAATACATTTGAACTCTTTTAAAAAATTTTCCACTTGCTGTAAGGACAGTGTAATTTAATTTAATTTCTATCAATTTGTAGACACTTCTGCACAATGCTTATTATGTTATACAGGAGGACTTTTATCCTTTGATGGTCATCTGTTATCACCATTCTAAGAGGGAAGAGAAGAAACTGGCACATATAAAATACTTTCAGTGACATTTATGGGCAGAGATTGTCACTAAGAAGCTTGGTCTTAATCAATACTACCATCGTCATCAAATTAGAAAGGACCTTAGAGGCAATTCATTCCAGTCTTATCGTCCTACAAATGAGAAAACTAATTTAATTATCAGGGTTAACAGCTCATTAATGGTAGAGCCAAAAATAAAATGTGATCACCTGAGCTTGAGTCCAACACTTTTTCTGTTATTCCGGACTGCCTCATTTAAAGCACAGTATTAAGTTATTTTGTTCATTCTTTGAGCACAATAATAAATAGAAAGGGCAAAACAATAACCAAGCAACAATTAAGCTTATTAGCTGAGCCATTATTTGCCAGTGATGCTTATTGTGAAATTAGAAGAGAAAGGCAGTATCATATTGTTAGAATTCAATTTTTGAAAACAGTGGTTACTAAATGTTAATAATACCCTGAGGAGTGTTATTTAGTGTTTACATTTACCTTTTGCATATGCCCTTTTGATGACTTTCTTTGTGTGGATACAAATCTATGATTTTATAGTTCAGGTCATGAGATTGCAGACGTTATCACTATCATATATGTTTATGCTCATGTATAATTATATGTCACCTAAGTATTTTTCTCATTAACCATAACCTCACCAATAATTTAAGGATTTGCCAAACTTTAATAAAATATTTTAGTAAGTATGAGTTCATTTTGAGTTAATAAAAACCCCATATTTTCATTGACAACATAAGTTGGAATAGTATTCTTAATGGAATATTTATTTGGTATTCTATCAGGCACTTGTTCCAATATGTCAAAAAATGAACTTTATTTTTTAATTCATAGAAAAGAATAAGAAAATTTGATTGAATGTCTTACATTGAAATTTTAAGCAAGATGGAATATGTAACAGAAATATTATACTGTGAAGTATGAAGAGTTTATTTGCTATTTACTTCTCAGCCTAAATTTTAGTGAAGTAACAAATCTCTGCAGAAAGAACTTTGGTCCACAGAGTACCGATGAGTACATTTTTTGCTTCCTGCCTTTGAAGTACACAGGGATGCAGTATTTTAGCCCCTTTTGAGTCATTGTAATCACTTGGTGAAATGGTGTACCTTCCTGTTTCAGAAACTCTCTAAAAGAAAACATCCACTCGGTTTCAAACAAGCACAATTTCTAAATGTCTGAAGCATGCTTTGCAGAGGAATTCTACATATAAAATAATCTTAAAAAGGAGAAATTTTAGTTTGATTCTTAATATCAAAATACACTTATCAGAAATTCTGCCTTTTGGCCCAAGTGAACTGAGAGAGTAGGGAACTAAGACTAAAATTAATAAAACCAACAAAACCCAGAAATAACATGAAAACATACTGGTAGGTAATAAACAGGACTCACAAACATGTGAGAGTGACAGGTAAGTGGGTTCAACCCTCAGGGAGCAAATAAGCTTGTAATATGAAGACTGTGTTTGCTGGAAGCTCCCGGTTCAGGTTTGGTAGGGTGAGTGGGTAAAAAAGGAAACTGGTCATGTGCACAGTGTCATGC